AAAGATAATATATTTGAAAAATTATTTTTTATAAATGAATTTATTTATACATTTTAATATATCTTAGTTGTTAATTATTTATACATTATATTTTAAGCGTTGTAGTTGCTTAAAATTAATAATTTTTTCTATTCAATAATATGTTTCAAATTTAATTTATAATTTTTATAAAATGTTAATACAATATAATATTAATCATTAATTCGGAATTAATATTAAAAAGAAAGAGGTAATAAATAATTTAAAAAAATATAAAATATGTTCATATACACATAAATTCTATTTATATTTTAAAGTGTATAATAATTCATGTACAATATTATAACTGTATAACAGTAAACAATATTGAATATACTTGATTGGAATATTTGTGATATGCCACTAAAACTGGCAAGTAAAATATTTACATATTATAGGATGCCACTTCATTCCCTTATTTAAAAGATATGTTATTCTGATCAAAAACTTGTAATATCATTTAAAACTATTAAAACGGTATTACAGCGGCAGCTGGATAATTATCTTAACTATTATCACAGATGATAAAATACGTTTATTATATTGTAGCACATATATATCAATCGTATTTATTATTAAAATTAGCAAATTATTACGTAATTATAAAATATTTAATTTTATAGTTACAATAAATTTTGCTAATAATTCTTATTTCAATTATTATTAATAATAGTAGTAATAAAACTTATAATTGTTTTAGCAATAAAAATGATTCTATAAAATGAAGATTTAAATTTATTATTTTAAAAAATTAATCATTTAAATTACTTTCATAAAAATAAGATTTTCATAGATGATTATAGTATTATATTAACATTAAAACTTTGTAAGACTTACACTTTACAAAATTAAATTTTATATTATATATTCATATTGTAAGAATAAATAATTTTAATTTCTTATAATTTGTTGATTCATCTTTCACAATGATAATTTTTTTAAATTCCAATTCTATTTACATTGAATTTGTAATATTAAATTTACATATTATATTCTGTCAATTAAAAAAAGCTTGCCTCTGTTATACCGTAAATATGTTATTGATTATTATTAAAATTTGATTTATAAAGTTCATTCTAAAGCATCATCAAACTACAGGAACTTTGTACAGTAAATATGCACAAAATTTTCTTAACCTGCTGATGAAGATAATTGTTTAATTTTTATTAAATATTATATATTAACAATATTGAATTCACATTATGGTAACTTATCCAGAAAAATTTATCCATATTCATCCAAATCTCATACATACAATGTTTCTTTATTTTATTCAATAAATTTAGATTAAACTTTGTACAATATATTTCTTTATCTTCTACTTTATATCATTTTTTTTTATAAATAATTTTTTTGAAAAATGAAAAAAATGAATAAAAGAAGCAGTTATGTATATTTCACTTGTTTTTCCTTTTTGTGCTGATATTTTGTAAATTATAAATTGTACAATATAAATAGGCCTTTATATTTTTAATACCACATTCAAAATGCAGCTTTTAGAAAAGTGTGTACTTACAAAGTTATTTTTGTTAAATAAACACTACACACTCATAACATTTGCATCCTATGTATATTGAACATTACTAGCATCAAAGTATATTTCTATGAGAATACAATCTTCGATGTTGTAATATAAATACAAAACTTAATAGTTTTAAAAAACGTCAGTATTACATTATATGATCATTTTATCGCTATCACATGCTCTCTGTTTATTTTTGTTTCATGTATTATCTGATTAAATGATATCAATAATAATCAATTAAATGATATCAACAGATTGCATGCTTATACAATGCTGTTAACAACACTTCTTTTTATGTTGTTTTGTGCTTTTCCTTAAATTGACTGTTTCACTGGTTTGTATAGCTTGTCGTTCCTTCCTTTCTTTTTTGGTTCTTAATACTTGTCGTGTTATAGCCATAAACATCTAAATGCAACAAATTAATGTAAATTAAAATTATTATAAAATTAAAAAAATTTAATAATTAGTATTATTATTAGTTATTAAATTATATTATGTATTTAAACACATAATATAATTTAATATTTTATATTATTTTATAAATTTAATATACATATATATTAATTATGTTTAATGAAATGAAAAAAGATTTTTAAAAATATATATCAAATTTAAATTTCTATTAATAAATTTATGAATTTATATTGTATATATAAAATTAT